TATATTTTATCAAAATTTATAAAATTAATAAATATTTTTCTTTTTCACAAAAAATTCAAATTTGGTATTTTTTTCATAATTAATTTAATATTAATATTAATATTTTGAAATGATTATTCTATCATAAAATAGAAGCAATTGGCAAATGAAAGTGTAAATTTCATTAAATATTTATACAACAACTTATAAATGATTTATATAATTTTATTTTTAACCAATCTTCTGGACGAACCCTTTTGTACATAATTTTTCAAAAGTTTGCAAAACCGCAATTTTTATATATTGAGGAAGCTTAATGGTCATAAAATGAACAACTTGTTTTAGTAGTAGCACCCTCACCCGAACGCCATCAGACAATCAAAATTGGTAAAAACGAAAATAAAAATTTATTTCTTCCAAATTTAACAAATCTAATCATCTGAAAATTACCAGAGTTCTAGTAGGGACTGAACCCTACACAATCCTGAAGAATAGAGACTTTTATTTCAATTTTTTAGTAGTAGCAGGTTCACCCGTACGCTATCAGACAATCAAAATTGGTAAAAACGAAAATAAAAATTTATTTCATCCAAATTTATTTAATGTAATCATCTGAAAATTACCAGAGTTCTAGTAGGGATTGAATACTACACAATCCTGAAGAATAGAGAATTTTATTTCCATTTTGCTTCCTCATAAAGGAAGCCTTATAGTGATGTCGATTTCCGAATTTTTTAGAACCAATTATTTTTACAAATTTTCAAGTGTAGTATATATAATTCGTCGAGAGGAACAAATGTCCGGATGTATGTGTGTATGTATGTGTGTGTGTATGTATGTGTGTGTGTGTGTATGTCACCGATTCTTGTGGACAAATTTTCTCTTACACCTCTTGACGGATTTTGATAAAATTTTGTAGGTGTATTACGGTCACGAATACCAAAAATCAGACAAAAGGATTTTCAAAAATATCTAAAAAAAAAATTTTTTCAACAATTTTTTAATTTTTGAAAAAATTAATTTTTGGATTTTTTGAAATAACTTTTTTCTATATTAAAATTTTTATTAATTCTTGGCAAAATTGCATTCCTGACATAAAAACGAATTGATTCATGTATATAAAGTATATATTTTATCAAAATTTATAGAATTAATAAATATTTTAATTTTTCACAAAAAATTGAAATTTTGTATTTTTTGAAATTTTATCTTAACACTTTAAAATAATTATTCTAAAATAAAAAATTAAACAATTGGTATATATTATATTCAGGAAGCTTAATGATCATGAAATGAACAACTTGTTATTATTATAATTAATAATATAAGTATCTTTTGTTAGTTTATATCCAATATATTATTTTAAATATTATCTCTAATCAGGTAAAATATATATTTTTTGTTATTTGTAAATAAAACATAAGAATTCAATGTGGATTATAGTTATAGTTTTTTTTAATCTATATGTAATAAAAATACATATGTGTACCGAATTTCAGCTTAATATGTTTATATATGTTAATATTAATGTGGATTATAGTTATAGTTTTTTTTTAATCTATATGTAATAAAAATACATATGAGGCATTATTCCTGAACTGCCCCAAAAATAAAAAAAAGTTCTTGGATTTCCTTTATACTTTGAAAATATGTTACCCTAGTAGGTACAAGTTACTACACCAATTTACAGGTCCAACTCCCCACCCCAATCAAAAGGGTGGGGGGTTGAAATTTCAGCTTCAACTCGAACATGCATTCTTTAAACATTTGTAGTTTCTACTTAAATTATTCAATTAAAAAAAGTAAGTAGTGTTTTAGAAAGGTTTTTTTGTGTACTTTTAAAATATTTTATTTATATAATAAAAAAAAAATTTTTTTTGCAAAAATTTTTTAAAATAAATAGTTTTTTGCAATTTTGTGCAAGTTCGGTAGTTTTTATTTTCTTTTTAATAATCTCAAATGAAAGCTTGGGAATTCCCCTAAAAGAAGATATAAGTCTGAAAATGGGCCGAAACAATTTGCCAAAGATATAGTGAAATAAGTAAAATTTGTCCGTCCGCTCGCGCACTCCAGCGCGATGAACAGTGGGATTTTTTTTCAACTTACTATTGAAAATTGTCTAGAAACTATAAATTTTATCGGATGTTGATGTTCTTGATTTAAAATTACTAAGAGATCCATCAAAGTCGATTTTTGAATTTTGAATTGTTTATTTTTTTCTTGTTACTCAAAAATTTGATAAATTACAATATTTTTAGAAAAAATCATGTTAGTTTTTTTATTTTTCCATTACACATGATCGAAATCAATTTAAATTAGTCTAGTATGACCACCGGACAATTAATAAAGCATAATACAATTTATTTAAATTGTTGCAAACAATGTTAATTAACAAATAGATTACTTCGGACCTTCTTCATAAAAAAAATTGGTTTTTTTGCAGACAAGTTTAAATTTATGTCTAATTTAGTAAAAAACTATTTTACAGTTAAAAATTATGATTAATATTAACAATTATATAAACAATAATCAACTTCCTTTTGTATTTGTAAACATTTTCGTCATTTTTCAAACTTTAAATATTTGTATCATATGTACATTCTTTCAAAAACTTAAAAAATTTATTAGCTTAAACAATTACATTTGTTATAAACAAACTTTTCATTTTTAAACAAATAAGTAGCTTTTTTCATCAAACAAAATTTTTTCCTTTTTTTTATATTTACTATCATAAAAAAGAACTCCTTAATGAAATGGGAATACTATAAATTATTCATTTAATTCTAACGAACATTATAAGTTAAGAAATATTTATATTTTTAATGAAGTAAACCATTATTCAGTTAAAACAGTTTACATTTAAATGCATATAAATAAATATATTTTTTCTGTGAAAAAAGAACAAAGTTAAATATTTGTTAACTTATAATGTTTATTAAAATTAAATGAATAATTTATAGTATTTCCATTTCATTAAGGAGTTCTTTTTTATGATAGTAAATATAAAAAAAGGAAAAAATTTTGTTTGATGAAAAAAGCTACTTATTTGTTTAAAAATGAAAAGTTTGTTTATAACAAATGTAATTGTTTAAGCTAATAAATTTTTTAAGTTTTTGAAAGAATGTACATATGATACAAATATTTAAAGTTTGAAAAATGACGAAAATGTTTACAAATACAAAAGGAAGTTGATTATTGTTTATATAATTGTTAATATTAATGATAATTTTTAACTGTAAAATAGTTTTTTACTAAATTAGACATAACTTTAAACTTGTCTGCAAAAAAACCAATTTTTTTTATGAAGAAGGTCCGAAGTAATCTATTTGTTAATTAACATTGTTTGCAACAATTTAAATAAATTGTATTATGCTTTATTAATTGTCCGGTGGTCATACTAGACTAATTTAAATTGATTTCGATCATGTGTAATGGAAAAATAAAAAAACTAACATGATTTTTTCTAAAAATATTGTAATTTGTCAATTTTTGAGTAACAAGAAAAAAATAAACAATTAAAAATTCAAAAATCGACTTTGATGGATCTCTTAGTAATTTTAAATCAAGAACATCAACATCCGATAAAATTTATAGTTTCTAGACAATTTTCAATAGTAAGTTGAAAAAAAATCCCACTGTTCATCGCGCTGGAGTGCGCGAGCGGACGGACAAATTTTACTTATTACACTATATCTTTGGCAAATTGTTTCGGCCCATTTTCAGACTTATATCTTCTTTTAGGGGAATTCCCAAGCTTTCATTTGAGATTATTAAAAAGAAAATAAAAACTACCGAACTTGCACAAAATTGCAAAAAAACTATTTATTTTAAAAAATTTTTGCAAAAAATTTTTTTTTTATTATATAAATAAAATATTTTAAAAGTACACAAAAAAACCTTTCTAAAACACTACTTACTTTTTTTAATTGAATAATTTAAGTAGAAACTACAAATGTTTAAAGAATGCATGTTCGAGTTGAAGCTGAAATTTCAACCCCCCACCCTTTTGATTGGAGTGGGGGGTTGGACCTGTAAATTGGTGTAGTAACTTGTACCTACTAGGGTAACATATTTCCAAAGTATAAAGGAAATCCAAGAATTTTTTTTTATTTTTGGGGCAGTTCAGGAATAATGCCTCATATGTGTACCGAATTTCAGCTCAATAGGTTTATATATGTTAATATTAATCAATTATATTTCTTATATATTTTTTTTTTATAAAAAATGAGTTTTATTTTGGTGTACGGAACCCTCGATCTTAATGCGAGTGCAACTCGCACTTGCCCGATTTTTTTTTATTTTCGCGTCCGCCATATTGGATCCGCCATTTTGAATTTTGTAAATCTGATGCCAGATTCGTATTCAGCGACCCCAAAAACCCCAGAGTAACGAGTTCCAAGCAAATTCTGTTCATTTTTTATTTTCGCGTCCGCCATATTGGATCCGCCATTTTGAATTTTGAAAATCTGATGCTAGATTCGTATTCAGCGACCCTAAAAACCCCCGAGTAACCAGTTTCAATAGATTTCAATGAAATGAAAAATGTATGACTCAAAGGGTTAAGAAATTGATTGCCATGTTATAACAATTATTGTAATTAATATATTATTAACAAAAATAACATTTTATAATCTACTAAATGAAAACTTTTTTTTATAATTTGCAAATAAACTATTAGTTATTTATCTTTGGAATTAAGAAAAAAAAAGAATATTAATTTATTAAACAAAATTTTTTAATGTGTAATAATTGCTATTTCAGAATGTGTTCGTGAAACTTCTGAAAGAATTTAATCCAATAAACCAACTTTATTCAAAAGTTTGGTAAATAAGGTGAGTTTTAGGACATCCATCAATCCTTTTTTAGATCCAGCTTTTCTGAATATGGACATGGCAAGAAATGAAATTTGCAACCTTAAGGATATTGGAAATGAAATATTTAATATCCAATAAATAGCCATTAAAAGTAATACGGCATCAAATCCCGTAGCTTGAAATGCGCAAACACCATCAACGTAACATTCAAAGTTGTGAGTCGTTGAAGGAAGTTCTGTTCTTAGAAATTAATCGTGGTGGATCACTTTTATCTGGAATGACTTCTGATAATTGTGTTTCAGCCTATAAATACAAACATAGAAAAATTAGTTTGAGGGTAAACTCTGTGAAGAGATACCAGGATGCATTCCCTGCGCGGAAACTTCGTACTATTTTGGAGAGATACATCGACCTCCACGTCCGAACGAACATGTTTACGTGCCCTTGGATATCATAGACGTCGCATCAATGCTCCGGCAATGCTATAACGTCTTGGTTCAGGGCCCATCTTGGCCAGATGGTAGAACCCTGTTTCGGCTCGCTCGTTCCTCGACACGGAATAAAACAGCACGAATCATGAAAATGAGCGGTAAAAAAATGACTACTTGCATGCAGTGGGCCAGGAACTCAAATTTTTTGCCAAAAAGGCAATTTTTGAACTTGATTTAAATTAGATGAGATATACATTACTTATTTCAATATATTTTTTTACATCAAACACTAAAATGGTTTTGCATTATATTAATTGGCAAGAATTATACAACCCTTCGAACAATAAATTTTATTTTTTAAATTTCTAGCGTTCTATGAATATTTAACGCATTTTTTTTACAATTTTTTTAAATGGCATAAAAAGGCACTTTTTTATTAACATATAAGATGAAAGTTTGTTAATCAATAATTGCAGCTTCCTAATTAATTTGAAATTAAGTTACACCTCATTGAATAAATATTTATATATAAAATTTCGTACGTGACTAGATTTAAATAAATGTTTCCCTCGATTTGCACCACCAAATTAAATGAGAAATATGACAAATTACTCCTTAGATAGTTTACTTTAACTCACATATGCTCCTTTTTGCCCATTTTGATTTTAAATATGACAAATTACTCCTTAGATATTTTACTTTAACTCACAAAAAAAGGAAAAAAAATTTGTCGTAAATATTTTGTATGACCTTACAATTTTAATTTTTTGAAAGACATAATCTTAAACATAAATGCAATTCTTCAACATTGGTTTTTGTTTAAAATAGCTTAGATTAAGCAGGTTGACTGTGTGTTTTTTTATTTTATTAAATACTAGCTGTCGGACCCGTCTTCGACGTGTTTTAGTTTCGGCTAATACATTTGATAGGGTTTCTACCAACCGGGAAATAGCCGGGAATTAAATTTTACTGGGAAAAACTAATAATTAGTTACCATTAACTATTTCGTGAGGAAAATATTACTATTTCAATCAGTGACAGATTTTTTTCTATCAAATTTGATATTCAGGAACAGTATTTGGCAACTTGTTGTACTTTGTGCGTTTGTAGTACTGCAATTAATGTATTAAAAATTAATCCTAAATTTACACCAGCTTTTGGAGTCAAAGAAAAGTCTAATTATAGATAATTGTGTCACAATTAGACAATTAGACAATAAAAATAAAGTAAAAAGCAGTTTTTAAAATCAAATTAATATAATAAAACTTTTTTAATTTGATAAGAAAATTCCCGGTTTTTCCTGGTCAAATTAAACTCCTGGCTATTTATCGGTTTCCCCGCGCAATTGGTAGACACTCTGTCAATTCTATTATGGTAAACTAAATCCCGTCAAAGACTGGTACTGGCATATAACATATTTTCTTAAAAAAGAGTATTTTCATAAAATAAAAATAACTTAAAAAATACTACTGAATTAAACTTGATAGTAATTAATAACAATTATAATTTTTTCGATTTTTTGATATGGAAAATATTTTTATACTTACATCTTAGTCATATCATTTTTTGTGCAAAATTATGCTAAAATATGACTAAATTACATGTAACACTCAATTATACAGAGTTTAAAAGCAAATCATCAAAACATGTAAAATTTGTGATTTTTAAAATTTTTTGAAAACATTTTTATACTTTAATCTTAGTTATAAGATATTATTTTTTGAAAAATTATGCTTAAATGTGACTAAATAACATGTAATGATTAATTATAGATAGTTTAAAAGCAGTCCATTAAAAAATATAAAATTTGGAAATTTGCTATTTTTTGAATTTTTCGAAATCATTTTTATACTTACATCTTAGTTATAGGACAGTATTATTGGAAAAATTATGCTAAAATTTGACTTAATAACATGTAATACTCAATTATAGAGAGTTTAAAAGCAATTCATTAAAAAATATAAAATTTGAAAAATTTCGATTTTTTGAATTTTTTAAAAAAAAATTTATACTTACATCTTAGATATAGGACATTATTGTTGGCAAAACTATTCTAAAATGTGACTAAATAACATGTTATACTCAATTACAGAAAGTTTGAAAGCATTTTTTTAAAAAATGTAAAATTTGAAAATTTTTGGTTTTTGAATTTTTCGAAAAAATTAAATATCTCCCGTTCTAATTAATATTTTTCAAATCTGTAAATTTATAAACCTTCCTTAGCTTAAGGTCTAACATTCTGCCAAATTTGGTTTCAAATGGTTCAGCCGTTTTTAAGTGATGCGCGAACAAAGTTTCTGTGACATACCGACACACATACATACATACATACATACATACATACATACATACACGAAATTTTTTATTGGTATATTTGGAATCCTTGATGCCTAAAACGAATAATTATGTGCGAAATTTAAAGTTCTGAGCAATGTACAGACAAAAGTCTGATTTTATATATATATAGATATATAGATGTGCGGTTGAAGTTTCGTTGATTGCAGTCGCTCCTCACTAGGTCTTGATGGCGGTAGCCAACGTAAACACCATGGTATTACTCGTTTAAGGCGCGTTAATGATGAAAAGTTGCTAAGAGATTGTGGAGTTTGAAAGAGATGAGCAATTGACGTAGACTGTATCTGTGTTTTATTCTCAATGTCAATCTCAAGGATTGTATCGTCTGAAGGAAAGTCGGTCCATATCTTGTCACCCAACGACAACCATTTCGGACCGCTCCACCAAAGGCTTGAGTCGGCGAGGGTTTGAGGATCGGTCCCACGACTGGCGATGTCAGCTGGATTTTCTTCTGTGGAGACGTAATGCCATGGAGTCTCTGGAAGGATTCGTTGAACTTCTGCGACGCGATTTGCAACAAAAATAGGCCACTGAGATGGGTCTGCTGTCCGGATCCAGTTTAGTACGTTTTGTGAAGCAGACCATGCGTGTACCACTGGATTTGAGATCGCTAACACATCAATAACGTTCTTCAACAGTTTGGCTACCAAGAACGCAGCGCAGAGTTCCAGCCGAGGAATGGTGAGTGTCTTGATAGGCGCCACTCGAGTCTTTGAAGTAAGTAGTCGTGAGATGCGTGATCCATCCTGTCGTTGTACGCAGATGTAAATAACAGCTGCGTACGCGGTCTTACTTGCATCACCGAATCCGTGATTTTCGAGGGCGTCACCTTGACTGGTTCCGATCCAGCGAGAAATTCGAATGTTTGATATGTGTGACAGATTGTTTTTGAAAGTCAGCCATCGGTGAGTTAACGAACTTGGCAGCGGGTCATCCCAACTTTGCTGGTTTCGCCAAAGATCCTGCATTAACACTTTAGCGATGATGATGATGGGAGAGAGCCAGCCAACTGGATCGTATAAGCGAGCTATACCAGCTAGAATTATCCTTTTGGTGATTTGGTCAGATTCCGCAAGTTTAGGTGGTTGAAATCGGAATTCGTCAGAAACAGGATCCCAGCCAACGCCTAGAGCGCTGGTCGGTTCACCTGTTTCAAACTCTTTCCAACTTGGCCGAAGTCGATTTTCTTCTGGGATTTTTTCCAACAAAGATAGATGATTAGAGGTCCACTTCTTTAGGCTAAAGCCGGCTGCTTTTAGCCGGCGTTTTAGCGATGGCTACGTTATCACCACCGGCAAAAATATTATCGACGTATGTGTTCTCGGTGAGTAATCTGGCAGCCTCAGGGTATTCACTTCCTTGGTCGATGGCTAGTTGTTTGAGAACTCTTATGGACAAATAAGGAGAGCAAGACATTCCGTAAGTAAGAGTGAGAAGCTGATAGTGCGTGATCTCTCGATCGCCAGGACGTTTCCATGCGATACGTTGGAGATCGATGTCACGTTCGTCCACATCAATGCTGCGATACATCATCACAATGTCAGTGCTAAAGACTACTCGATGTAATCGCCAACGGGTTAGCACAGAGACTAGATCACTTTGAAGTTTTGGACCGGTGTGTACGACATGATTCACAGAGTTTCCCAAAGAAGTTGTCCGTAAAGCGTTGAAAACAACGCGCAGTGTAGGATTACCGTCAGCATTCTGCCAGATGGCATGGTGAGGTATATAGTAGATGAGGTTGTGGTTTTTGGCAAGTGTCGAAGCTGGAATAAAGGGTGTGGTGATCGATTTGTACTGTTGACATCTGGACTTGGACGAGCAATCTTTAACGATGTGACCGCTTCGCATGCAGTTGAAGCATAACTTCAGCTGTGTGATTGTCGTCTTCCTTTGATGATGTTTTAATTTCTTAAAATCACTGCAATGACCGATGTAATGTTCGCCTCCGCAGAGCCTACAATTTCCTTAAGCAGACCGTCGGCTTGGTGGAAAACTGTACCATTTCAAGAATTCGTTATAAACTATACCATTTCAAAAGTATGTTATAAAACATACCATTTCGATGAAGATCTATAAAAGCGTTGCACTAAAGAATTTCTAATGATTAACAAGCAATTAATTTAAATTATTAGAAATTTTTAATTAATACATTGAAAAGATGAACAAGAGTATATTTAAGATACCGCTTTTTAAAAATGCATAACCTTATTTTATGTCTAGCAGCAGTGTTGACAAACTTGGAAAAAAAGCAAAAAACTTTTTTCTCGAAATGGTATGTTTTAAAAACATTTACCGAAATGGTACAGTTTATAACGAATTCCTGAAATGGTGCAGTTTTCCACCAAGCCGACGAGACGTAGTTGCCATTAGTCGTGACCGACTTCGTGAGGCTGTTGAAACTTCAGTGTGTTTTCGAGATGCAGATCCAACTTTCGAGAAGGCAGTCGCCTCCGTAGCACAGAGAGCCCAAATTTCCTCATCGAGAAAGGTCTCCATTTTAGTGAATAAGGGAATGGTGTCATCTTCTCGCAATTCGTGCTCCTAGTCACTTCGCGTGGTTGGATCCATCGCGCGAGCGGCAAGGAAGGTGAACCAATCGTCCCAATGCTCGACAGGTCGTCCTATTGTTCTTAATGAATCCCTTTTTTTGATTAGGGTGTCAAGCAACGTTTGGAGCTTAGTTGCATTCTCTTCTCTCAGTTGGTCGATGGAGATTAGAATTGACAAATTCTCCTGCACAAAAAGACGTCTGTTATCATACCGCTTCAACATGAGAGACCAAGCTGTCTCATTATTTGACTCCGTGACAGCAATTCCATCGAGTGCACGCTTAGCCTCACCTTGCACGTTAGATTTTAAGTAATAGAGTTTCTGGACAGCACTTAACGATTGGTTGCTATGCACGAGCGCTACATACATATCACGAAAAGATTCCCAATCCCCTCGATCACCGGAAAAACTTGGAAGATCGATCCGAGGAAGATTGTAGAGTGTCAGAGGAGAGGCTGGAGAGCTTTTATGATGCAATGATGACAGTCCTTCTCGCTGATCATAGAGGTGACCTAAAGCTTCTGTGAACGTAGCTTCTGTTCGCTCGAACACATTATCCACGAAGTACTGCTCGTCCAAAAGCCTCTCTTTAGTCACTAGTTCTAAATGATTGGACTGTAGTTTGGTCCAATAATTTTTTAGAAGCTCAATGCCTCCTTTAACTATGCGAGTAGTAAGGGTGCCTCGCTCAAGACCAACAATTTTCTTATTGAAGTTGTCAATTAGCGACACCAAGGCGAGCTGAGATGCTAGTAGAGTGGACATGTTCCAGAATATCCAGAAGTCTAGAAATAAAAAACAAATGCAAAGAAAGAACGATTTACACAGCCATTGTAAATGTTAGGAAATTTGGGATCGCAAAATTTTATGCTCGAATGGAGAGGCCTATGACACCTGAGAAGAGGATCGAAAGTGAAAAAAAAGGAAAGTAAACCTAATCTAATAGGAGACAGCATGGTCAAAGGCGGAAACGTCTTGTCGAACCTGAGATGACTCGAAGGTGACAAAAAAAGGAAAGTAAACCCAATCTAGTAGGAGACAGCATGGTCAAAGGCAGCAACATCTTGTCGAACCTGAGATGACTCGAAGGTGACAAAATAAAAAGGAAAGTAATTTGGTCTTGAGAAAGTGTATAGAGACTCGCGAACTTGAGAAAACGATTCGAAGGTCGCGAGACCACACCATGAAATCATTGCATGAAATTTTGGACAACAGGGAGAAGAAACCCTCCTGTAGAAATCACTAGATGACATGAGACAAGAAGGAGAAGAAGTAGCGTGCTTTTTATACAAGTTTAAGACAGAGCGGGAGGGCGTGAGACAGATTGTTCAAAGAAGCGTCTGCCACGTGTGTCTCTTCTCGTCACTGAAACACCCCCAGATCTTCGCTCAATCCGGCTCGAAGGACCAAAAATATGTTAAAAATAAATTAAGTTTAATGCGTGGGAGTCGAATGTATCACAAGAAAAAAAAGAAACAATGCGTGGAATAAAGTGTAATAATAGTTTATTGACTTACATGGTTGAACAAGAAAATGAACAAGAACAAATGGAAAAAAGATCAAAATTGAACGACAAGTTTAATGCTCAAGAGCACGAAGATCACTGAGCTCTCGAGCACCATAAAACGGATGTTGTGGAAGGGGGCGTCTTAACCCTCAAAGTGGGGAGAACGGAGCCACACGACTCGCGGCCCGCAATCCTTTCGAGAGGTGACTCGTACAATTTCAAAACAATAATGAATCCGCCATTTTGAATTTCTTTAAAATCTGACTTAATATTTGTAATCAGCGTCCCCAAAAACCTCCTTGATATAAAGTTTAATGAAAATAGAATAATTTTTTTAATTTTATGTCTGACATAATTACCCGCCATTTTGAATTTTAAGATCTTACTTCATATTCGTTATCAGCGACTCAGAAAACGCCCTGATATAATGTTATATGAAAATTAAATAATTTTTTAAATTTTATGTCCGCCATATTGAATCCGCAGGGGGCACTATCGGGTCTCATAAGTAAACCGGTAGAAAGCAGAAAAGTGACGGTCCTTGGACCTAACAATGCGAGGGATGAAACTGGTCATGATGAATCCTGGTCATCGACCAGGATCAGACTAAAAATCTGGAGGTGTTCGGACGCATAAAAATTGGTTTTATGTCATGCCCGATCAGAAGGAGGCTTATGATAGTGAAGAGTTATCGATGCCTCGGCTCTGGTCAGCTAGCAAGAGAATGTAACATGACGGATAGATCGACTGCGTGCTTTAAGTGCGATGAAGTCGATCACAAGGCTGTGGATTGCAAGATGAATGCTTTTTGCTTTTTGTGTAAGGAGAAGTTCCCAGAAACGAAAAACGTTCATCACTTTGCGGCAAGTGGAACTTCCAGGGTCTTCCGAACTGCCCTTGAGGAGGCAAAGAAGACTTTCGCAAGGACCAAAAGTAGAAAAAAGGCGTAATTTCTCACCACAACTTTTATGTCTTCAATCAGCTTTTTATTTTTATTCTGTTTAATTTAACTTGCTCTGTGATTTTCATTAGTCCTTTTACAATTTTAATTTATTTTGTGATGTTTATTTGTTCTTTTACAATTTTATCTTTTGAACTTTACTTTCAGTTTGTTTACTTTCTTGTTTCTGTTGCCTATGTCTATTTACAATTTTATTTTTAGACTTTTTTAAACACTTTTTTAACATTTGCTTTTTATTGTTGTGTTGTGAATGCCGCTTTGACATTGAAATAGTTTTAAATTTTAACTAATGACGCAGGAAAACCGCAAAGAAAGAACAAAGTCGCATCAGCGACAGAGTTGGAGCGCCACCCTCGAAGGCTAAAGTCTTACGACAGTTCTGAGAGAGGGTAAAGGGCTCCAAAAGAAAGGTTACGGGTTTTAGTGGGTCGGGCTGGCAGTAGGTTGCCAGTTTATTAAATTTATTATGTCATTTATTTTTTATTTTTTTTATAAATTTCTTTTTGTTTTTATTATACCAACCCCACATAACCTTAGAGTTCGGAATCCAAGGTATCAGTAGACAGATTTCCCAAAATTCTCTAAGCAAAAAAAAATTAGTTTATTTTAAAATAAGTTTTAACCACAATGTTAGAATATGTTTAAAATCATAAAAACATACAGAATACATTATTAACATTCGCTGATTATCAGCTTTAGCTTTAATTCCTGAAAACATTTTGGACAAATTCAATAATATTTGTACACAATGTCCATCAATATTCGTGTGAGCAGTTATTGAAAGTTTTAAAAAGGACAAAATTTTTGGAATTGCATCTATCCAATTATTGCGCATGGTGGTAACTGGCACTTCGAATATTTTTGACAATTCCCAAAAAAGCTGTAAGAATATACCCACAAATTATTTAAACACTAATGGATTCAATTTACTTTTAATTATTTTTTCTTAAATGAAATTACTTTACCAATTCTGATATCTTGAGAGCAGGATAAGTTTCAAAAAAATATCGAGGCGGTCATTTTATTAGCATCCTTAACTCGATTTTGTCTTGCCTCATTGAGGAGACTTTTTATTTTTTCAATATTTCTTGATGAACTCTCAGCTTCTTGACTCATTTCAAAACAGAGACATTTGTGTGAAAAATTTGATGAAGTACTTTTATTTTTCTGTGTCTTTAAATATTTAAAGCAACACTTCATTTTTTCATGCACTTGCAACTAAATTAATTAATTTTAATAATGACAAAAAACGGAGAAAACTTAAAAAAAATTATTGAAGAATATTTTTTGTGAGTCAAAAAATATTCAGACAGTGACTTTACATCTAATTCGTCTAGAACGCTACAAAAATAAACGTAGAAACTTTATTTCTCATTTGTAAGAATATTTTTAGGATAATAAATATTTACATATATCCTAGTGAAATTATAGGACATCCAAAGGGCCTAGCGGAGTAAGCATGCAAAATCTGCCCCTGCTCAAAAAAATTTGAAATTCTTGTTACATGTTGGCAGCATTAAGATACAATTTTTTACTAAATATTGTTTCAAAAAATGTATTTTTGTAAGAGTTATGGAGGGGGAAAAGAAAATCAATAATTTGTTTTTTCTCGAAAACCACTGGATCGATTTTAATGAAATTTATACGTGTTTCATAAATTAATAAAAGGAATTTCAAAACATTTTGCCAAAAAAACCAAAAAAAAATTTTGGCTTATTTTGGAGATATTATTTTGGAATTTTTATAGAAAATTCTCCTAAATGTGTACTTTTAAGAAATATTTTTGTTGGTTTTTTTAATTGGGTATCCCATAGTTAAAAAAATTAAAATCCTGGGTGGCGCATCATTCGGGCTGAAGCACAATGTATCCAGCCATTTTAAATTTTGAAAATTTAATCTTAATGCTGCCAACATGTAACAAGAATTTCAAATTTTTTAGAGCGGGGGCAAATTTTGCATGGTTACTCCACTAGGCCCTTTAAAATTACAATCTAATTGCAATTTAACGCTTGCTTTTATGAAAGTGTATGCATCTTTTTAGATACCTTTGAAGAAAAAAATGGATATCCTCGTAGAATGCAAAATCTGTTTCAAGAAATTTCTTAATCAAAACTTGTTAACTGATCACGTCAGAAATGATCATGCTGAAAAATTTACATTCAACTGTAAATTTTGTAATAAAATTTATAATTGCTGTTATTCTTTGCGTTGACATGTTTATCGAAATCATAGAGAGATTGCAACAAAAGGGAATGTATTTAGAAAATTTAAACAAAGTGAACAGACTTCCAAATCGACGTTTAATAATTCTGACTCAGATAATAATCGTCTTCCAAGTAATTCTAAAGATCCAGATCCTGACGATGATTCGGAAAATTCTAATTCAGATGAAAACTCCGAAAATCCTGATCCTAGTGGCGATTTAAAAGATCCTGATCCTGGAGTTCGAGAATTCAGATGTTGACGACATTCCAGACAATGCTTTAAAAGAAACATTAGCAAAATATATTTTATATTTAAGAGCAAATACTCGAGCCACCAATAAAGACGTTTTAAACATATTAAAAAATTTACAATTAGTAGTTGAGTTTTATGTGAGGCATTATTTACCCAGTGGGCACACTTGTTCAAAAGACGTCCTAAGGATGTCTTTTTGCGGACGTCTTTTGGACTTGTACAAAAAGACGTCTTAAAGACGTCCTATTCATGTTCTATGTCTTTAAGGTGTCTTAAAGACGTCTTTTTCATTCAACATTTAAAAATAGAAAAATTTTCATAAATAGAAAATATTATTTTCTAAGTTCAACTTGGACTTTGAAATTTATGAATGTGAAATTCATTGGAATTTATCTAAGTTAAATTCATTTCATTGACAAGTGAGATCGTTAACTTTGTAGAGGTTCATATCTGTCTTGAACGGCTGAGGTGCTTGAGGCGCAGTGCTTTAAAGCCCAAGGTATCCGAGTTCGTTCCCAGCTTTGTAGGAATTTTTTCATTATTTCTCCACATTTTAGAAAAAATAAAATTAAACGTAAAATAAATTTAATACAATATTACTGAATTTTAACTTAGAAAATGTTATAAAAGAAATGTTTATTTAAGATCTGAAGGAATGTAAAAAGGACGTCCAAAAGACGTCCCTTTTATGTCTTTTAGACGTCCAAAAGACGTCTTTTAGACGTACACATTCGACTCTATAAAAAAACATGCCATCACTTTTTTAAACATATCTCGGAAATAAAAGGAGATACAAGAAAGAATTAAATACGGTTAGAAAGCTAATTAAATTTTACGTAAAATAAGCCGTCTTTAAAGTCATTTCGATTATTATTTGTTGAGTTGTAGAGTGAGAAAGAAATAAAAATAATTATCGAATTTTCTCATTTTTGTCTCTTGACTTCAACTTTTTTAAAAATGTAAAAAAATTTAGATAAATGTTTTTTAAAAACACAGAAATCTTTGTTAGAATTTCAGCTTTAAAATAAGCCTTTGAAAATTAAAAAAGGTTAATCCGTCTTTGATATATCATTAAAAATGTGAAGCCGTGTTTTGACCGATTGGTGCATTGAAATTCAACAGTGAAGACTCGATTCTGGCTTTGCGCGGCAGCGAATGAGAGAAAACAGGGACGAATTTTTGCTGGAGAATAATAAAAAATGATGTTTCACTAGTAATATAATGAAACTCAAAAGTTCATCGTTTCCGCGCATGAATTCGTTCCTGTTTTCTCTCTTATTCGCTGCCGCACGAAGCCACAATCGAGTCGTCATAGTTCAATTTCAATGCACCAATCGGTCGAAACACGGCTTCACATTTTTAATGATATATCAAAGACGGATTAACCTTTTTTAATTTTCGAAGGCTTATTTTAAAGCTGAAATTCTAACGAAGATTTCTGTATTTTGAGAAAAATTTTATCTAAATTTTTCTAGATTTTTGAAAAAGTTGAAGTCAAGAGACAAAAATTAGAAAATTTGATAATTTTTTTTATTTCTTTCTAACTCTACAACTTAAAAAATAATTAACGAAATGACTTTAAAAACGTCTTATTTTACGCAGAATTTAATCAGCTTTCTAACCGTATTTAAGTTTTTTTTGTACCTCCTTTTATTTCCGAGATATGATTGAAAAAGTGATGGCATGTTTTTTCATAGAGTCAAATGTAATCGTCCTGATACTTTTGGACGGTAGTGTACTTTAGACGTCCTTTCTTATGTCTTTTAGACGTCTTTTGGGCGTCTTTTGGACCAGACATAGAACGTCTTTTAAACGTCTTTCAGTTGTCTTTTCGATGATTCAGAGACATTGCCATCATTGTCTCCGAATCGTCAGCGGACAAAAAGAGACGTCTTTAAGACGTCCCTGTGCCCACTGGGTAAATGTTGTTCAGAAAAAAGTATTTGATGCTTTGCAATTAAATATTAACGATATTATAAATATCGAAAATTTAATTGATGGTTTAGATTGTTCTCAGGGGTTGTCAACTATTTACAGTCAAGATGTTTACTTTGAAGAGAAATTTGGTTTAATTAAGCCCTTGAAAATTGAGTTAGGAAGCCAATTCGTCAATTATGGTCCCCAATCTATAGATAGCAACCAGGCAATTAAAAAAAAGATCAAATGATATTTATCCCAATGTCAACAGTTCTCGAAAAATGGCTTGAAAATGGCCAATTTGTTGAAATGATAAATATTTCTGAAAGAGAGGTCAATAAAGTCTATAGTTCCTATGTCGATGGAAGCCATTTTCGTAACCATTTGTTTCGAGAGAAATATCCTGAATGCCTCTTAATAAGATTATTTTATGATGAAGCAGAAATGTGCGATGCTATTGGTTCTAAAGCAGGCATGAAAAATAATTTGGGATTCTTCTACTGGATGCTGGAAGATTTTTCTCCTACTCTTGGATCTAAGTTAAAGTATATTAGTTTGGCTGGAATAGTCCCTTACCCATTAATTAAAAAGTACGAAATAAATACAATTTTAAAGTGTTTTATTGACGACTTTAAGTTCTGTAGTATCTGGCGATAATTTAGGATCAAATAAAATATGTGGATTTAGGGAAGGATTTTCCGGGAGTTTTCCATGTAGGTATTGTAACGCACCAAGGAATTTAATGAAGATAATGACTGAGGAAGATGATAAATTACTCAGAAGTACAGAAGAACACAATCGTCAAGTTTTTGAAATTACAAATTTGATACTAAAAGAGAAAAGGAAAACTTAAGAACGATGTATGGAATTAACAGAGATTGTGCATTAACTGAAATTGAGGGCTTTCATCCCATCACATCAGCTCCGCCTGATCTTGTCCATGACGATCTTTTGGGATTCCTTAATATGAAACGAGTAGATATGCAAATTAGCTAAAGAGAGACATTCTTATTTATATTGCCTTTAGAGAAAGAAAGAAAAGTAGCCGTTACCAGAGCCGGCGTTACCAGCGACGTTACCCAGACGTTACCTTTTGTGTTTCAATTAAAAAAGTATATATATATATATATATATATATATATATATATATATATATATATATATATATATATATATATATTGACTTTTATCTGTATTTTTCCTTGCAATGAAGGAAGAAAGAAAATATTATCACGCTTAGGGCCTACCACCTAAATACAAGAACAAAATTTTAATTTAAAAATCATATCGTAGATTATTTTCCTTGGGACACGTTCTACGTGTCTTCAACGAAAATTAAATTAAAAAATCTTTATGATTCACTGGTGAATTCACTCACTATATGTGAGTGAATATAAAGTTAAATAAGTAAATTATTAGTAAATACTTTGTGAATTAGTAAATAGTGATTTAGTAAATAGTAAGTATAATAGGATAAAAAAGCTGTAAATTGGTTAAATTGGATAAAAGGCAAAATTGGAAATTGGTTATATTTGATAAAAACAAAGGTGGAAATTGGTTGAATTGGATAAAAGGAAAAATTGAAAATTGGTTATATTGGATAAAAACAAAGGTGAAAATTGGTTAAATTGGATAAAAGGAAAAATTGGAATTTGGTTATATTGGATGAAAAAGCTGGAAATTGGTTAAATTGGATAAAAGGCAAAATTACAAATTTGTTATATTAGATAAAAACAAAGCTGGAAATTGGTTAAATTGGATAAAAGGAGAAATTGTTTATATTGGATAAAAACAAAGCTGGAAATTGGTTAAATTGGATAAAAGGCAAAATTGGTTATATTGGATAAAAACAAAGCTGGAAATTGTATCTATTATATTTTTATCAAAGCCTTTTTTAACGTAAACAATAATTGTAACTCAGGAATTGCTTAATTTTTTTGTCTTGCTAATTCAGCTTCTATTTGAATTATCTCTGACATCATCATATAAGATTTTGTGTATGCATTAGAATTTCTCATAATATTTTCTATAGATTTTAAAACGTCTTCATCCAAATTTTCGTTACTTTTTAATCTGTATCTGATTGATTCCTTAGAGTCTGTTTATACATTGCGATGAGAAACCCTCATCGCAACAAATCCAGGAATCCAAGCACTGATGAGTGTATCAATGGAACTCAATATAATGTTTCATTAAAAGAAATTCTAAAATTTACTTTTTAATATATAAACACTAAACTTTTTATTCATTAAATTGTCATTATACTTTACATTAACTTTTAAAATTAACAGTGTAGAATTTAAATTAAAATATAAAAACTTTATTTAGAAAAACGCGGACGAAGTTCCACCCAAAAGCATTTCATTCACGAGAAAATACTAAAATTTGATATTGTACGAACGAAACTTTCGTACACGACACAAAATGCGCTCGAAATAGCCCTTATTACAGAATTACATTTCAATTAAATTGTTAATTGAAAAGCGAATAAAACGACAAAATTTTACGACACTGCGCAGCGATCTCGACCATACGAGCCAACAACTTTTTTCGAAGCAGCAAAAAAACCAAAGCGACGCTTCGATGCGATAGAAAACTATCGAGATATCGATCGATAGATCGGCGATAGAATCGACTTTTCTGTTCAGATTCAAACTTAAATTAAATAAAAATACAATTCCTGAACATACCGCCGCCATTGAACTTTCTAAAGTTCAAAATCGAAATACAATCGTAGATATGAATACAAAATTTTGGTTTGAAATTGAACTATCATTCTTGACAAAAAAAGTAGATTTTTTTTTAAAAAGTTTTAATTCGATAGCGATTATTTTTATGCGAATGTCGATTAACAATTAATCTTCATGTTTTACAGGTAGTACAATTAGCTTTGTGATTGGGCGAACATAAGTTCCCGAAGCAGTTTTAATAGTTGCGACTCGAACAAGATTATCTGATCCCTTCTTGACAGAAATAATTCGACCAATTTGACACTTAGTTGGCGGGAGATTTTCTTGTTTTAAAAGAACCATTTGATTAACGCAAAGATTTTCCAGTTTTTGTTTCCATTTATTTCTTTGCTGCAACGATAACAAATAGTCTTGTGACCAAATTTTCCAGAAAGATTCGAGAAGTTGCTGCCATAGCTGCCAACGAGAAAGACGAGATTCTTTTAAATCTAATAAAGAATTTTCAGGTATAGCAACAATCTCTCCTACTATCAAAAAATGTCCCGGCGTTAATACACGTAGATCTGAAGGATCGTCACTTAGAGGACACAAGGGTCTTGAGTTAAGACACATTTCGATTTGACACAATAAGGTATTTAACTCCTCATAATGCGGAGTTCGATCCAGCAAAATTCGTCGAAGATGGTGTTTAACACTTCGAACACCAGATTCCCAGATGCCACCAAAGTGTGCCGCGGCAGGTGGAATGAATTCCCAACGAATTCGATCATTAATGAGAAATGCTTGAACATCTCGACAACGTATAAACGACTCAAAATTTTCTGTTAATTCGCGATATGCTCCCTTAAAATTCGTTTCGTTGTCGCTATATATCACTGACGGTAAACCTCGACGACCAACGAAGCGTTTGAGAGTTGCGATAAAAGAGTCCGAAGAATAATCGTATACGATTTCTAAATGTATTGCGCGAGTCACAAAACAAACACAGCTAGCCTTTAATCGAACACAAATGACGCATTTGTAAATAACAGACTTGATTACTTGTTTTGAACGCAAAATCCAAAATGATTGTCTAACCAAATTTAATGTAAGCTGTGTTGATCCATGAAGACATTTCTCGTGATAATGTCGAACAATTTTTTCAACAACTGAATGTTTTTTCAAAATTGCTGGGTGACGTCTTTCGAATTCGAGAGGAGCGTTTGACAATCTCCTACCAACACGTAAAATGCCTCTGTCATCTAAAAACGGATTTAACGAGATAAGCGAATTCGAATTTGGTAACAATTATTTTCCTTTTAATTTTGATATTTCAACAGGAAACATTTGAAGTTGAATCAAACGAGTGCAAACTATTTGACTCTCACGACAAAATCTAACCATTGAAATACTCTCTGCTGTTTCACAACCAGGAATAACAAATTTCAATCTAATAACTAAAAATTTCAAAATATACGAGACAATTCGAATTAGTTTTGGCCAAGAGGAAACTTTTGTCATTAATATATCGAACCATGTGTTGGAATCAATTCCAACATGGCAGACTTTATCTCGAGACTCGAGATTTGTTCCCAAAATAAGCATTTCTTGATCAACTGGCCAAGAATCCTCTGCTCCACTTAACCAAGTGGGACCCTTCCACCAGAGTTGATTTTCTATTAGGTCTGATGCTCGAACACCACGTGATCCAATATCAGCTGGATTCTGTTCCGATTTAACATGTTTCCATAACTCGACAGGAGCAACCGATTGAATTGCAGCGACTCGATTCGCCACAAACGTTTTCCACGTTGAAGAATGTTTTCTCAACCAGGCTAAAACAATTGTCGAGTCAGTCCAATATACTGTTGGCAAATTTTCAAATGAGAAAACATTTTTTATTGATGATACAAGTTGGGACAGTAAAAGTGCACCACAAAGCTCTAAACGAGGGACTAATAAAGTTTTCGTTGGAGCTAGTTTTGTTCGGCTCGCAAGCAAACTCACTTGAATTCCTCCTGATTGAAAAACCAATCTAAGATACACAACAGCTGCGTATGCTGTATTCGAGGCATCTGAAAAACCATGAATAGATGACTCAATCACCTCTTCTCCCTGACCTGTCCATCTAGGAATCGATAAATTTTCTAAATTCGAAAGATCTGAATAATACGACAACCAAAATTCAGACAAATCTTGCGGTAATGGCTCATCCCAAGTCAATGCTTTTAACCACATTTTTTGAATTAAGATTTTAGCAATGATAATCACTGGAGAAACCCACCCAAGTGGATCATAAAGACGAGCAATCAATGATAAAACCGATCTTTTCGTAATTTTGCTATTTTCAATTAAATTAATTTTAAATCGATAAACATCAAGAGTAGGTACCCATACGATCCCAAGAATTTTTAAAGATGTTTCGTCAATCAGTGATTTTTCAACGGCATGGCCGTGATCAGATAAATCAATGTCCTCAAGCAAGGTTGAACAATTACTTGCCCATTTTCTTAAATGAAATTTTCCTTTCGCGAGAAGAGAAATTACTTCGTCTCTAGTTTCTTTGATTCTTTCTTTGGAGTCAGCACCAAAAATACAATCATCGATATAAATTTGATGCTCTAAAACGAATGAGGCCAATGGGAACGAATCACCCTCGTCTTTAACGAGTTGTTTTAGGACACGAAGATCTAAAAAAGGGGCTGCAGTGGTTCCGTAAGTAACAGTGTTCAAACGAAATTGAATTGGATTTGATAATGAAGTTGAAAACCACAAAATCCTCTGATAATCTCGATCTCTCTCATCAATCAAAATTTGCCTGTACATTTGGGCAATATCAGAAACGTATACGAAACGATAAGTTCTCCACAATAGAGTGATTTTAAAAATGTTACCTTGCAATCTTTCCCCAATATGCATGTGATCGTTTAAGCTTATAAGATTGGACGTTTTTTTCGATGCATTAAAAACGCCACGAACTTTTGTTGTCGAACTTGATTCGCGAATGATCGGATGATGTGGTATATATACTACCTGTGACTCATCTTTCGGCTTTTCATCAATACGACTCATATGACCCTTCTTCTCATAATCGACGAAAAAATCAGTATACTGGGACATGATTTTCGGGGACTTGCTTAATGTTTTTCTTAGATTTAATAACGCCTTTTCAGCATATTGAAGCGAATTACCAATATCGATGGGTGTGCCTGATTTAGAAGGATATCTAACCTTGTATCGACCGTCCACTTCGCGGGAGTGGGTATTTTCAAAATATAATTCACATTCTTGTTCTGATAACGTAACTTTTGAAGCACGAGGAATTTCTTCAATTTCCCAAAATCGTTGGAGCGATTCGCCAATATCCGAGTTTGAAGCACAAAAACCTGCAAAGTCCGATTTTCTAAAACAAATTAATTCGTTTGAATTATTATTACTACCAAAATTTCCCGATAAAATCCACCCAAAAATGGTATTTTGTGCTACCGGTTGATTATTTCCCCCTTTTTTAAGCCCATTTCGCATAATCATTCCATACAAATCAGCCCCAATTAAAATTTGAATAGGTTGCGCGTTGACCAATTCGTCATCAGCAAAATCAAGACCCTGCAAATGAGGTTGTTGTAAAATTTCAATATCCGCCGAAGGAACGTAATTCGTAATTTGTTTCAAAATTAAAGCGTTAGATTTTACGAGAAAATTTTTATTTTTCGATGAGCAAATTGTCACCGGAGCAATGCCTTGCGAACACCCAGCCTGAACGTTATTGATACCCGTCAAACGAATGTCAGCTCGATCCGGAACGATATTTAAAGCGTGAGCAAGTTCTTCGGTAATTAATGTCCAAATGGATCCCTGATCCAATAGCGCGCGTACTTTTATTGAACGACCCGAACTAGACGATAAAATTACTTGAGCAGTTGCAAGAAGAACACGGTGGGAACTCAACGCTCCCGGTGCCGCCATATTTGAATGAGCAACTTCAGCGACATCTGAGAATTGACATAATTCGGAGTTGGATGTTTGAACCTGCAATGATTTGTTGTTATTATTATTAACACTTAAATTTTGTTTAAAATGTAGTAAGGTATTATGTTTCGCTTTACAAATCGCACAAGAGAACGAACTTTTACAATTTTTCAACGAATGTCCCTTCGCAAGACAATTCAAACATAGATTTTATGATTTTACAAATTTAAAACGTTCTTCAACTGAATTTTTTTGAAAATTAATACACTTAAATAATTTATGCGCAGAGTTACAGAATGGGCAACTATTTTCATTCGAAACAACATGAGATCTTACAATGACAGGTTTTATTTTATTTTCATCGCCTTTTTCAACAGCTTCCATTGCTCTTATGCGAGAATCTAAAAAATTTAAAAGCGTAGAAAAATGCGGATAGTCAATAGAATTTCCTAATTTTAATTCCCAGGCTAATCGAGTATTTGTATCTAACATTTGAGAAACATAATAAACCAATATGTCACTAGCACGAGGATTTTCATATCTACTACGCAAACGATCCCATGCTGATTCGAAATTGTTTTCAGTAAGCGAAACGTTTTTCAACAATAACGAAGCTTCACCTTCCAGAAAGGATTTTAAAAAATGAAGCCTTTGTAAATTATCAAGAGAATTATTTTTAATTATTAATGAATTAAAATAATCGCGAAATGTTGCCCAATCTGTCAACTTACCAGAGAATTTCGGAATTGTGATTTTAGGAAGCGGTGTTGATTGATAGCAAGTAGTAGAAGTTGAAGGCGTTGATTGCTGTTGAATCGTCGAAGCTTTGACCTCTCTTTCCATACGAGCAACATCCGTCATAATGTAATCGCTGAACTTCAAAAAGTATTCCTCTGCAGTCTCAAATTTTCCTTCAATAAAATATGGATCATCCTCATCCTTCTTCGACTTCTGAATTTGCTCCTCAATATTAACAGACAAATCCCAGATTTGTGAAATGAGTCTCAAACGATGGTTCAATGCACCTAAGGTTATGTCAGATGTAGTTCTGACAGCTTCTTTTGCAGAATTACAATGACGTTTTAAAGTAGTGAAGTTTCGTGTCTGTTGATCAATCAACTGTTTTATAGTAGGTTTTTCTTGTGCCGGAAACATGGCTGTGATTTAAAGCAAATTGAAATTCTAAAAAGTTTTATCACTAACACAATATACTTCGATAAACACTAAAATATTTCATGATATAAATCAAATGTTCGAAATTCGTGAATCAGCTGTCCATTTTGTAAACATTCAAAGCTATGCGCACAATTCTTCGCGCATGAACGTAGAAAATAATGATGGCCGCGTTTCGACGAACAGCGACATCAACGAAACGACAAAAATGTTCAACAACGACACGAACGATTGCACAAAATGGCGTCAAACCAAGCCACTAGAAACACTACGAAAAAATCACATGAATAACAAAATATCCCACTGGATCCTGGCAGGATCGCCAAATTAATGTTTATACATTGCGATGAGAAACCCTTATCGCAACAAATCCAGGATTCCAAGCACTGATGAGTGTATCAATGGAACTCAATATAATTGTTCATTAAAAGAAATTCTAAAATTCACTTTTTAATATATAAACACTAAACTTTTTATTCATTAAATTGTCATTATACTTTACATTAACTTTTAAAATTAACAATGTAGAATTTAAATTAAAATATAAAAACTTTATTCTTTGAAAAACGCGGACGAAGTTCCCCCCAAAAGCATTTCATTCACGAGAAAATACTAAAATTTGATATTGTACGAACGAAACTTTCGTACACGACACAAAATGAGCTCGAAATAGCCCTTATTACAGAATTACATTTCAATTAAATTGTTAATTGAAAAGCGAATAAAACGACAAAATTTTACGACACTGCGCAGCGATCTCGACCATACGAGCCAACAACTTTTTTCGAAGCAGCAAAAAAACCGAAGCGACGCTTCGATGCGATAGAAAACTATCGAGATATCGATCGATAAATCAGCGATAGAATCGACTTTTCTGTTCAGATTCAAACTTAAATTAAATAAAAATACAATTCCTGAAAAGGGTCATAAATAAATAATTAACCAAAACATGGATCCTCACCTTTATCCGGATAGAAAGCACTATTAATTTGATAGTAAATTTGACCTTGAATTTTGTAACAGAATGGTCCTCTTCTTCTGCCATTAAAATTAATTACATTAGCATTTAAAGATGCAAAAAAAAAAGAATTATTATACAGCCTTATATTCTTTTTAAAATGACCTGAATTTTGATGAAACCCTTCGAACAAAAGCCTTAATTCATCTGGATATTGTAATGAAGTTAACACATCACCTCCATGACTACAGCAGTCATTAAAACTAACTTTTTTACCAGCAACTTTTTCATCTTTAAAATGTTTAGCTTTGCAATGTGTGCAGTAATAATTCATCAGACCTAAATAATTTTCAACATTCAACTCATTTTGAATTTGATGCTTTAATACTCCTTCACAATAATTTCTTTGACATCGAGTATTCTTTGTTTTTGACAAAGAACTTGTAACACTATTTTTATTTTTTAATTTAAGGTTCTCAGCATATTCTATTTTGGATTCGACTTAAAGATTTTCTTAGTTAAAGTGTTTTTTTCACCTAAATAATTTACGTTATCAATTGTACGTTTTAATTTTTGCCTCTCACGATAATTTTTTTGAATTTCAGCCCTACTTTCTTTAAGTGTTTTTGATTCAATATTTATTTCATTTATTATTCTCGGGAAAGAAATGGATGTGTGTGCTTCCTCTGAATAATTTTCATTATCAATTTTAAGTTTTAATTTTTGCTTCTCGCGATAATTTTTTTGATTTTCATCCCTACTTTGTTTAACTGTTGTTGATGCAATATTTCCTTCATTTATTTTATTTATTATTCTCGGGAAAGAAATGGAAGTGTGTGCTTCCTCTGAATAATTTGCATTATCAATTTTACGTTTTAATTTTTGCCTCTCACGATAACTTTTTTTAATTTCAGCCCTACTTTGTTTAAGTGTTGTTGATGCAATATTTTCTTCATTTATTTTTTCATTTATTATTCTCGGGAAAGAAATTTCTTTCTTAATACAGTTTTAAAAAAGTTTGATTCTCCATACTAAGGTTGAATATCTTTTTCATTTAAAAGGCAATTCCAGTCATACACAACTATACAATCTACAACTATACTATCTACTATTAGAAAGTTGAACAAAGGGAAATTTACATAAACTATTGTTTTCGAACATTAACATTAAATGATTTCTCATATTACAATAATAGTAATTGACAGAGTGGGGCATAATATTAAAAAACAACGATGTTGCGAATGCTATTGCATATACTCCACAAGAAAGACTGTATTCTGGTTGTTGATCAACAGTTGTAAAAACTACTGGTGGTTCAAAAGGATATAATCTAATTAAATAATCTCTTTGATCATGATTTAAACCTTTTTTATTAACCCTTAACGGCCAAATGAACAAAATTTTGTCATGAAGTTTGAGGACTTATTTCGGTACTTAAAAATCAATAGAAAAATTCACGAATCATCATTTCTTAAGTTTTCATATGCGCTCTATCGAATGGCGTTAAAAAAAGTCAAAAATTTATAAACAAAAAAGTTATTAATGTTTTTCATAAAAAAAGTTCGATTTTTTTTCAATTTTTGTTTAATTTTCAATCTTTTCTACCATGAAATAGCGGAAAAATAATTCCAAATGTTACAAATAACGTGACATAGATATATAACCTAGAAGATAGGACTATAGAGAAAATTAAAAATTAAAATGGCGGCTCAAAAATGGAGTTTGAAGTTCAATTTTTTTTTCAAAATTTGATTCGAAAGTACGAAATTGTTAAAAGTGTTTAGATCAGCTTGAAATTTGTTAGTCGGGGGTTTTAGGGGTCGCTGATCACGAATCGGAAGTTCAATTTTAAGAATTCAAAATAGCGGACCCAATATGGCCGACAATTTTTTTTAAAAACTCATTAAATTTGCTTGAAACTTGTTTCTCGGGGGTTTTTGGGGTCGCTGATTATGAATCTGAAATCTAATTTTCAAAATTCAAAATGGGGGATCCAATATGTCCGACAAATTTTTAAAAACTCATTAGATTAGCTTGAAATTTGTTACTCGAGGGTTTTAGGGGTCGCTGATCACGAATCTGGAGTCCAATTTTCAAAATTCGAAATGGTGGATTCAATATGGCGGACAATTTTTCTTAAAAAATCATTAGATTCGTTTGAAACTTATGACTCGGAAGTTTTTGGGGTCGCTGATTACGAATATAATCTCCAATTTTGAAAATTAAACATGGCCGCTCCAATATGACAAACGAATTTTCAGTTGAAATTCGATAATCACGTTCTTTAGCCATTAAAATACTTAAAATATTTTTAATGTTTTCCAACTTTCACCACCTGGCGGTAAACGTGAACTGGAAAGTATTTTTTTTATTTTTAAATTTTATATTTTTTTCTTTTTTATGTATTTTTCTTCTTTTTATTTGTTATCATAATTTTTGAATTTAAAGGTCAAAAAATGGAAATGTATATGTTTTATTTTAATCATTACTTATTTCAAGGTCAAATTGAAAAAACAATTTTTTTATCTCCAGCTTGTAGTTCTTGTAAAACCTTTCAAAAATCATTATTCACAGTTTTAATTCCATTAATTTTACTTATCAATATATTAAATCGATAAAAAGATATTTTTAAAAAAGACAAAATTTTGAACTTTCGTAACTCAAAAAATATGTTATCAATTTTAATAATATTTCATATTTACATTTCTACTAAAAGTAGTAACATGTTAACAAAGTTTCAAGAAAATTCATGTTACGGCCGAACTCCGTAACTTTTTATATTGTTAATACCTTTTTTAATTATATTTAAACTAAAATTACATGCAACAATTACACGCAACATGAGATTTTGTTAAACATCACATCAACATTTACACAAATAACCCTTTGTAAACTCACAAAAGGAACATTCTTTTATTTTGATACTATGAAACAAGTTGTCAAAAACAAACATCCAAACTAATAAAATAATATTTTATAATAATACACAATTCAAGGATAGAAATCTATAATAAATTGTAAAATTCCTTTATTTATTCTTTTTCTATTCTGAAGAGTTAATTAACTTTGCTTTTAAGAAATAATTAAGAAATACTAAAATATGTCAATTGCCCAATATAAGGAGTGGTGCATCCAAGTCACTGAACTCGGATCACGCCATTGCCTAAATCTGCAAGCTTGCAGAATTGGCTTGACAACAGTCAAGTGCAATAAACTTAACAAACGATTTCCCCACTAAATCGTCTTTCAATAAAATTGATTGACACTGGGAAATCTGGGCAGTTTAAGCCAGGCCGTTGTAGCCGGCAGTTAGCCCGGGCAGTTTGGGCCCGCAGTTTAGTCCAGGTCGTAGTCACCTGTAGTTGTAGCCGGCAGTTTTGGCCAGGCAATTCTAAGTCCGGCAATTGGCCGTGTTCAATTAAATTTTGTAATCCCTGAGCAAGGGATTTCCTTAGAAGTTAACGGGTTTAATAAAAAGTTTGATCAGAAAAGTGAATTTGAATTGAGAATAAAAATATAAAGAAATAAAAAGTGAAGAAAGGTTGAATTTAAAAAGTTATATTGAGAATAATAAAAGTGACAAGTGAAAAAGTAAAATAATTAAAAGAAAATATTGAAAATAAAGTGAGTAAAAATAATTATAAAGAATTTGTGAAGGAAAATAAAATAATTAAAGAATTTAAAAAGAATATTGAATATAAAGTGAATTGAAAAATAAATATAAAGAATTTGTGAAAGAGATATAAAATATAAAGTAAAAGAATCAAAAGAGAATATTGAAAAAGTCTTGTATCAGCAAGAATAAAATAAAAAGTAATTTTATTAAAAGAATATTAATTTAAATATATTTTTAAAGACAGCCTTTTTTTACGGGGTTTAGGTCTTTATTTTGTGCAATAAAAGGAATATTAAGGTTCAAGACGAAATATCAATCTAGTGAACCTAGATTGGGTATTTCTTTAGTTTTTCGGTGATACAACGCGAAATTTACGAAGTCAGAACGTGTCATTCGATTAATATTTCA